AGCGCGCGTGAGAGGCTAGGAGGTTGTGCCCATTTAGAACTTTGAATGAATACTTATCGGAGACCACGAAGGAAATATCTCCTCCTCACTTTTGTCCCCAACATTCATTTTGCCTATATACGGCCTTATTCCTTACTTCTTCATTTCACACTCCCCCTCTTTCTTTGTTCTGTGGGAAACTCTGACGTGGTGGGTGGCGGTGAGAGGGGAGCTACCCAGGCGGTGTCGTGAAGCTAAAGGTTCGACTGCATCAGGTATGTTATTCTGCCCTCTTCCTCCAGCGTCGTCGGATTGCCTTAGCTTAATTGTGCGCGGAGGTAGGAGGACTTAGTTCCCCATTTATTTTCATCACATACCAGTAGATGGCTTGTCAGCGAACAACTTCGAGTTGGGGGTCTTCAAGGGGAAGGATGTTTCCCTCGGAGGAGGCCGAGGTTACATTGCAGGAGTATGTACCTGCGCCGGCTCAGGTAGTGCCAACGCCGGGATGGGAGATGTCGACGTCCGCACTAATGATGAATGCTGCTAGGTTGGATGTGGGGACGACCGAACCAACATGCTCCTTTGTCGGGCCCACCCCATCCTTGGGACATGATGCTCGGGCATGGGCACCAGAGCCATTCACTACGTATGTGACACTATCACCGTCCTCCGGGTTAGGAGAGAGGGGGGAGCCTAGAGGTTCGGCGGGGGGGGGGGGGGGGACGAGTCTATAGAACATCAGAAGCAAGGTCCTAGGGCAATGAACGGTAGGCACCAATCTCGTAGGCAAGCCGTGGCGGGCACTGTAACCCCATCAGGGCGGCCGGGCGGTGTAGGTAAGAGTTACCAGGAGCGCTTCTTATTCCAAACCTTCTCTCTGGATGACGTGGTGGGAGACTTTAATCGCAACATGGAGGCGGATATGGATTATCAGGGGGGTAACCGCCTTTTGACGCCTATTGACTACATACGGGATGCTCGAGCAATGGGAGTACACACTCCGGGCGTCGATCGCCAGTGTTAATTCGGCAGAGTGTGGGTGGCATTGCATCTACTATGAGTCATTCGCCTTCGGCTTTTGTACCCCATGCCTCAGTGGTTGAGCTCGGTGATGATGGATGCTAAGATGGCGCTTTGATCGGTTGCCCCCACCTTTTGGGCGTATGTTGATACTTTAGTTCCTCGATGCAAATCAGTGGGTATTGACCCTACCGAAGATCTTTTTTATGCTTGCTCCACTGTTCGGAAGGATCCCTCAGGAAGCTGCTCATGGAGTGTGGAGTGACGATTTTTGGGTTTCAACTAAGCGATGCTCACCCTTTGGGGTGGTGGCGAAGATTGTGCCGAAGTTTTGGTGGAAGAAATCTTTCTTTTTCCACCTTGCTCCTACCGGAATCGCGGTGGGTGGGAGTCTGTTACCAGAGGAGATTGGCATTGAGAATTCGGAGAAGTTTCAAGTGGCGGTGGAAGCTCCACCTGACGTTTGGCGGCTGTTAGACGGACCCCCAACTAATATCGATACAAAAGAGCGCATAAGGAGTCTAGTTGTTCATGGCTATGGGGAGGGTAGGAGATATGTCAAATATATGCGAAGTGCTTTCTCGTCTTTAGATTTTTTTTATTAATCGTTTTATTATGTTTCCTTCTTTGCAGGCCCTATGGATGTCGAGTGGCTGATAAGGGGTATCGGGATTGTCCGGGATGAAGCGAGTCTAGAGGCAGATCGGTCCACGACTTGGGTCCGTTACGTGGTGATTTAAGAGGTGTTTTCCCATCATTCTAGCGAATCTGATGGCATACATGGTCGCGACGCTGATAAGAAGAGGATTGTAGCCGAGCTTCCAGAGGCCAGTCGGTTTACCAAAGGCTTGGGGGGCACCATGCGGTGAGCTTTGCCCGGAGATCTACCGGGAGCATCAACTCTCCATCGAGTAGTGGGTCCAGGCGAGGCCCCGACGTGCCACGACCAGTAAGCGGCTCCAGAGGCACACCCGTTCTGGAAAGGCCTTCGTTAGAGCTGGGACAACGGGTATCTCCTGCCCCGCATGCGGCGGAGGCGACCCACGGGCATCCCGGGTCAAGGAGTCCACGAACTTCGGGCTCGACTTCCGCTATATTAGTGCCAACGGGTGGTTCCCGAGCTCAGCAGCTGGCGGATGCCCTCAGGATCGACTATGATGGTGGCTTGGAGATGAGCTCAGCAGCTTTTTACTATTTGGTGAGCGCTTGGGTTAGTAATTTTGTCTCTAATCACTGTTTTTTAACGATGTAGATGAAGAAATAGCAAGTGTCTTTACACGTCCGCATGTTGGCCACGACAAAGAGGACATGAGAGGCTACCTAGGCTGTGAGCGAAGCGGAGAGGCGGCTAGCTGAGGAGTGAGAGCGTTCAGCAGGTCGTGAGGCACGAATCTGTCGCTTGGATGGCCGACTCTGACGAGTTATGCAGGAGCCAGAGGAGGCGCAGATCATGGAGGGTCACACTCAGGAAGAGCTTATTCAGGAGATGGAAAGGGCTGAGCGCAAGAGCGAGCGGGCGGAGCGTGAGAGCCAAAAGGTAGAAATAGAGCAAGCTCGAGTTAAAGAGGAGAAAGCAGCGTTTGTCCAAGTAAGGAGAGCCTTGCAGACGGAGAGAGGAGTCACCCAGAGGCTGAGATCTCAGAGAGAAGACTAAGAGGTCCGTGAAGAAGGCGTTTTCTAAAATGTATTGCTTTTCTAGGGATGTGGTCAGTGAGATGCACCATGGGGTCTCTCTCGACGAAGAAGACTTCCAAAGGAGGATGGCTCACCAGGTGGCGTCTGCGATAGAGGCTGAGAGAGAGGTTAGATACTATGTGGATTAAGGCAAAGATCATATAAGCGCATGGTGGTGAGCGCCTCCCTCAAATATTTTAAGTGACCGTTCTTGCTCTGGATCTTTACCAAGATATCATCAACATATGCTTCAACATTTCTTCCCAGTAGGCGAGCAAGCACCCAGTCCACCATGCGCTGGTAGGTGGCCCCTGGAGAACATATCAAGGAAGGTGAGAAATTGATGACTGAAGGTGGCATTGACGAGCTAGTGAATCTTTGAGAGAGGATATGGATCCTTGGGGTAGGCCTTCAAGGGAGGGTTGGATGGCGGGCTCCTGTCCTAACCGCCTCCAGCTTGGGATGACGCGAGTTCTGGGAATCTATCACGAGTTGGATGTCAGCGCTGGGATTTCTTTAGAGCCTTACTTTGGGGCCCCATGGTGTGCGCCAATTATTGATATCTGGGTTGTCGCTGACATCAGATTCCTTGCTACAGGCACAGATAGAGGCTTCAAATCATCTTACACCCCAATCCTTATTCGTGACGCCGACTACCACCTCCTCCAGTAAAAGGTCCACCGGCCGATCTCGGCAGAGACACTCTCCGACGCTCAAGTCAGTATTGAGTGGTAAGTTGAGGGGAAGAATGAAGTTAAAGACTTAGAGTAGGAGAGGAGGGCCTGGGTCAGCGATAACTCTGTTCTCTAGTAGTTGGAGAATCTTTAAGGGAGGTGGCCAGAGCCTTTTTTGCGTACCTTTGCCGGAAGATGAGAGACGCCTTTTATAGTGGACGTCTGGGGGAAAACAGAGCACATGCAGCGATACCGGGGGGCAGGGTCAACTCGTCGTCGTCGGAGGTGTCATCACCTCATGCGTTCGCTCGCCACGTATCATGCGTTCCTGTGTCACGTCTAAGCGCTCACGCCATGTGGTAGGTCATAGCCCAATAAGGGTGCCACGTAAGGGAGAAGGCTAGAGTGAGTGAACGGGTGGGCACCGTGAGCGGCAAAGACGGTGGGCTTCGTCGGCGATGAACGCCGAGAGCGGCGAGGGCGGTGAGCGTCATCGGCGGCGAGACAGGTGAGCGTCGGGGCATTGAGACCGGTGAGCGTCATCAACGATGAGCGCCGAGGGCAGTGAAACCGGTGAGCGTCGTCGATGATGAGCGTCGTGGGCGAGACTGGTGAGCGTCGTGGGCGGCGAGACCGGTGAGCGCCGTTGGCGATGAGCACTGTGGGCGGTGAACTCATGACGCGATAAAAATGTTTTTACATGGGGGCCACCAACCGTAATGGGGAACGGTGCCGTCTGGTCCAGACCGGACCATATATACGGTCTGTGGTACAGACCGAGAGGGTGAAGTATAGACCACACCACAGACTACACGGTCCAGACCAGACCACGCCTGTGCGGTCTGGTCGGGTACGGTCTTGTTCGAATACACCACAGTGAACGAGAAATGAACAATTTGATTAGTCAACCACACAAAAAATTGAACTAATAGCCAAGAAAAAAATGTGTTTTTTGCCTTAAAACATAAATTCCAACATGCATGAATTAAGATCGAGACTTGAGTATCGTTTTAGGAGTTGAGAGATGATCGAGTGGGCTGCTAACATGTATTGAGAAGTCGGCTGGGTACATGGTTTGGTCTGGTAAACCGCGGTCTAGCCCAGACTAGACCAAGAGATCAAAACATTATATAATGCAGACCATGGACCAGATCAGACCATACTTAACGGTCTATAGTCCAGACCAAACTGTACGGTCCGGTTTGTACCATGACTTTTCAAACGGTCTGGTCTATATTCCCAGCCTAAAAAAATTATGATTTCTTTTATTTGACGATTTGAATGATTTATTAAATAGTTTGGTGGGGATATGAATTTGAAATTGATTATGTTTAATGATAACTTTATTCTTACGAACAAGGGATTGGTCTAGTGGTAATACTACTAGCCTTGAACCTGGAGGTCCCAGGTTCGAATATCTTTAATAGTACCTAATTAAAAAAAAACGTAGGTCACCCTTATCTGAAAAAAATGATAACTTTATTCTTAAATTAATGTGATATACAAATCTTATATGTTATATATCTCGAACAGTTGTATCAACGATTAATCAATAGTTTTATAACCGCTTAAAAACTACAAGTCGCTTGTCCGGTTAGAATAGAGGATAAATGGAACTAAGCAGACCAGCAGGCAGCCGCCAGCGCCTACCATTCCCGATAGATATATCTCCTCGGCCGCTTCCTTCCCCTCCTCTCCCCCGCCTTTTCTTTCCCTCCCAGCAGGCTGCTGCCTTAGTCTTACCCACTAAAACCCACACACTCCAACAAAAAGCAGAAACTATACCCGACTCTCTCTCTCATTTCCGCTTCCATCCTTCCCTTCCATATGGCTTCAATCTCGGCCCCTACTCCTCCCCGCAGTCTCTTTTTCTCTGCCTCCCTCCGCCACTCCAAAAGCCGTCGTTCCTCCCTTTCCCCCTCTCCAGCATCCCCTAGGTTTCCCGATCCCTCTCTTTGTCGCTGCACCAATTCCTCTTCTTCCTCTTCCTCATCGGATAACCCGGGCCTGCGATGGGATGCTTTGATTCAGGACGTTGTCAAGGGCGCAATGAAAAGGTTGGAATCCATTATCGGGAATCCAGCCCGAGAGGGCTTGGACGAGGGACCCGTCGTGGAGAGAGGAATCCGAGAAGAATGTGAAGACGAAGGACATGAATGGGATTGGGATCGCTGGAGGAGGCATTTCCAGGAGGTCGATGACCAGGAGCGGCTCGTCTCTGTCTTGAAGGTAATCTTCGCGCAACTCGTTTCTCTTTAGCATTAGCATGTGGAATTCGTGCATGTGATTGAAGCGGGAGGCGATTTCAGGAATGGGCATTTCAATTGCGAGGTGTTCATGAATGTGTGATTTTGTCGCAACTGCAATTGCCTAGAAATTACTAATATGTGAATGGTAAATCCTGTGGGAGTCACGAATGTTTGGTCTTGGTGCAACTCCGAGGTTGTGTTTTTATTTTCATTTTTTGGGTGGTATGGTGGAGGGAACCTAATATGAGCTAACCTGGATACCGATTAGGCAAGCATTTGCTCGCGCAAGTACAGATTTGTTACTTGTGAAAGCCACAGTGAAGGACCTATTTTCCAATTTAGGACCATTCTGAAAGTACTTCCTCATGTCTCATCTGTGAGTTGCTTTAGCATCGTGTCTGTTACTGTTAGGTTGAAGTATCCCTCTTTCTTTGCACGTCTGTAACTCTCTTAGGAAGTTCTGTTGGTGAACTGTTTTTTCCTGTTCAATTTCAGCTGGGCATGCTATAATTTACATGTTTTGGTTGTGTCTCTGCAGTCTCAGTTGAGTTATGCTGTACACAAGGAAGATTATGGAGATGCTGCTAGGCTAAAGGTTGCAATTGCAGCTGCAGCAATGAACGACACCGTGGGCAAAGTGATGACACATCTGGTGGTATGTAATTTACTAAATTTACTTGTACAGTTTGGCTTTCCCTAGAAGGACACCACTTTCTCTTTCTGTGGATTGTGGTGGAGCAAAAGTTTCTCATCTCTTTCAAACCTACTTATTTGTTTCTTCTTCCTGTTCCTTCAGAAAGCAGTAGTTGAAGAGCGCTATCAGGAGGCAGCTTTCTTACGGGATCATGCTGGGGCTGGACTGGTGAGCAATCACATTCTTGACCCCAATCATTTACAAGCTTGAATGTTCCTCTCTTTTGCATACTTTCCCCTTATGCCTTTACTTGTACAGTTTTGTCACTGAAGTTTGACTACAAATGTATTCACTTCTTTGAGGCAATGCATCCTCTGCATTTAGAAAGCACCGTCTATGTTATTTACAACTGTTGAAAGGGGATGCTAGAACATTGTTAATATTTGGGGTTGAGTAAGCGGCGTATAGAATCGGAGAGGGAGCATGGCATCTGTTAGAGAAAGCTAAATCTAGAATTCACCATAGTATCAACATACATTTTTTCCCCTCCATTGAATCTATACTTCTCCTTAAAGTCTTCAGCTGTTAGGTGGCTAGCCCTGCTTTGCAGTCATAGTGATACGTCTCATGTACAAGCACTAGTTCGTTAGCTGTTCTAATCTGGCATTGGTTTTCAGGTGGGCTGGTGGTCTGGTGTCTCTGATGAAGTGCGTGATCCTTATGGCTTGATTGTGCGCATAACTGCAGAGCATGGGAGATATGTTGCCAGAAGCTACAGTCCTCGGTAGTTACTTAAATAATGTTCTTCATGGTTTTATTTTCATTCATGTAAATAAGTTTCACAGGGCCTAGCATACATTTCCTTTCGTGTTTATCGTAGCATTGACATACTGGCTCTAGTTTATATTTCTGATCAACCCATTTAAATTTTACCTAAAGTTTCAAGAAGCAGTGGTCTTATTTCAAGTAGTGTTCTTGGTAATGTTCATTTTCTGAAATTGTCTTATTCTGCTGTCGTGAGGATGCTCCAATTGCTGATGGCATCTTGCCGCACCAGCTTTCTCATGGCACAAGCACCAAACTCCCTATACTATTTCTCTACACTGTTTTCTATGTAGCCCATTCAATTTTTTTCCTTCCTGCAGTCAGCTCGTTACATCTGCAGCAGGTGTTCCCCTGTTTGAGATCTTTCTTACGGTCAATACAAAGGGCGAATACAAACAAAAGGCAAGTTTTCCCTGCTTCCATTATGTTTTAGTTTTTCGGCTTACTTGGAAAAATTAGAAATTCTTGTGACTGAATAAGTGAGCATATTCCATTCACTGTTTTGAATTAGAAGTGATTGGCTGGGTTTGTTTTATCTTATCTAAACTTTAGCTGTATCTTAATATAATTTTTAAAGAATTGGCACAGGTAAGAGTGTCTAGCAAGGTCTTAAAAAAATGTATTGCTGATGGTTTGTGATATGACTTTTTTAAGTAGTTAAAGCAGTTGATGGAATGCATTATTTTCATTCTTTGATGAGTTTTGTGATATGACTATAAATGGTAGAATAGTTTCTCTTTTCTAACCCAAACTTAGAATTTTTATAAATAGTGCGATATGTATAGGTCAAACAAAAATATCTGAAGTTTCCTATGTTTTTTTGAGGTGATGTCCCAAGGAAATAAAATCCGGTACCTATCGTCCTATCCGCTTTTCTTTCTTGTTGGACTAGCCATCTTAATTTTAAGAGAGTCACAAATTGAGCTCTTCAAACAAACCCCCAAATTATAGTTTTGTATGCATGTGCTTGGTTCTGGTTCGGGTTCTGGATTCTGCTCGTTTATGCTTAACTTTAATTTACATGGTCACAGTTGTGTTGCATGACTTATATGTTTTTATGTGTGTTTGCACTGTTCACTTGCAGGTTTTATATCCTTGTTAATTGTCCAATTGGAGACGTCGAGTTCACTATGTCGGCCATATCTCATTGGATCTATGCGTTTGTGTAGGCTGTTTACCTGAAAAGAAAAGAGCATCCTCAAGGTCCTTCAAAGCTGGCATCGAAAGCACCAAGTGGACCCAGTCGGTTAAGTCGTTCTGGGCCAACCGAACAGAAAGATGATCTGTTTGCTGTAACTACTGATGAGACCGAGGATGATGAGGATACAGAAGATGGTTCTGATCCAGCTGATGGATTTCCTGGTTTTAACAATATCATGCGAGATATGATACCTGGTGTCAAGGTCAAAATTTTGAAAGTGACAACACCTGCAAAGATGGATAGGGAGTTCATAGCCAAGGTGATAGATGATCTAGTGGATGAAGAAGATTATATGAAGGATGTTGACTTGGAAAGTACTGAAGGTGAAGATGATATTGAGGAAAGTGAGGAAGAAGGAGATGAGATTGACATAGATGCTGCTAGTGAGATGATTGATAATGTAGAGAATGGTGAGATATCAATTAAGGTTGTGGTGGGAGGTCTTGCTCAGAGGCCTTCATCCTCTGTGGCTGGAGAAGATAATGTTAGGGTACCAATTAAGTTAGAGAAGAAGGGGTACAGGTCATTTTCCCTGTCTGTAGAACAAGAGACCAACAAACAGGATGCTGGCGCGAAGGAATTGGATGGTAGTGAGAAACAAGGGCAACGCACTCTGGACCAAGTTATGTTTGACCTTACTAAATTCATTGGCCCTGAGAAAATTCCGTTGAAGGTGGGTTTGGTGCAGAGTAGCTTGTAGCTCTGTACATTTGGCAGGACGGATTTTACTTTGTTTTCTTTGTGTATGAAAGCATGCATTGTTGTTTATTTCCTGTCTTCTGCATTCTCTTCTCATGTAATCTTCAGTTTCTCTATTCCGAACTTTGACTGTTGCCTTAACTTAATATTGATTATTTTCAATTAACCAGGTGCTGAAAGATCTTAGTGAGCTAGTAAGTGTTAGCCTCAGTCAAGCTCGAAACCGTCAACCATTGTCTGGCTCAACAACATTTCATCGAATCGATATATCAGCCTCGCCAGACCCTTTGAGTGGTGAATTGTTGCTTATGCATTTTTAGTGTTTTATTTTGTTGAGCACCTTGGTGGGCTATTGTTTCTTTGTATAATGTCTTGATTTGATGGTTCATCTTTTCAGATGTCATTCAAATTCTTGTGTAGCCCGACTTCATAGTTCTTGTACTTCCTCACTCACAAGAATAAAAAAGATCTCTGTACTTCCTCAGGACTGTATGTAGGTGCACATGGGCTGTACACGTCAGAAGTTATACACTTGCAACGCAAAGTCGGTCAATGGAAAGATGATGGTGTGTCTAAGGAGGCTTCTAGAATTGAGTTCTATGAATATGTTGAGGCAGTGAAATTAACTGGAGATCCTTATGTACCTGCTGGGGAGGTAAACTGCTTAGTTGAAGCTCCCCTCTCTTTATCTTCACCTTGAATTACTGTCATGGTTTGAAATGTATCATTCATATTTATACGTATAAACTTTTCAACATGCTTACTTATATCTGTTAGAAGTGTAAAAAATGAAGTGGAGATTCAGCTTACTTCTGCCATGAGCATCCCTGTCCTTTGTATATATTCAATTTGCTATACTCCTTGTTCTCAAGACTTGGGTATCTCCTCAATCATTTGACAGCAGGTCGGAATGTTTTGCGATATATTGTGTTTTTTGTTTTTCTTTTTTGTAGATAGTCTTTGCATATTTGGTTCCAGTGGCACGGTTGTCAGTTACTAGTGCATGCTCACCGTAATACATTCTGATACTGTGTTGCCTAAATGAGTAGCGCTTTACTTCTTATTTGTTTAGGTAGCATTTCGGGCCAAAGTCGGTAAACAATACCAGCTTCCTCACAGAGGTATCATTCCTGAAGAATTTGGAGTGGTAAGTCAGATGTTGATTGAAGATGGGATTGGCTTCTCTTTTCATCTTTCTTACTTCTTACACATTTTGTTGCGAGTTGTAGATAGCAAGGTATAAAGGACAAGGGAGGCTTGCTGATCCAGGATTTGGGAACCCTCGATGGGTTGATGGTGAACTTGTTATTCTCGACGGAAAGGTAACAACTATTTCAGTCTCGATTACTTGTGTGGGGTATATATTGAAGGGGCATGCCCAACTTTTACATATCATGGCAATTTAATTGATGGTGGACTTTTTCTCTTCATTTCCTTCAGTACATTAAAGGAGGACCTATTGTTGGATTTGTGTATTGGGCTCCTGAATATCACTTCTTGGTGTTCTTCAACCGCCTACGGCTTCCATAGATGCTCGTGTACATAAACTTGGTGCTTGCCTATTCGTTGTTCATATTTTTTGAGGTAAGAGCCTAAGAGGTATGTGATGCATTTAAAGTCGCAAAGTAGGTTAAGTGTCTGTTGTATGTTGAAGTCATGTACTTCTGCTGTATCAAACAATCCGTCAGTTACATATGCAATGCACTCCCAACATCCATTTTCAGATCCCTTCTTGGTCCACGGCTTATATTAGTACTCTGCGTCAACATTTGGAGTACTGTCAGAAAGAAAATTTACAGTTATCTGTTTCTTTTATCCCGCAGCCTTGAATGATGGTGAAGATGGAAGAATGTCAATCCCATGTTTCATATTCCACAGACGGTCTATGCCTAGACTTACTGACTGACTTAGTCTGAAGTTGACCCGTACGGCTTGGACGACATTGTTCATACTTCCAGCATTTCTTTTCCTCCTATTTGTTATGTGGCTGGGATTGACGGCAACCGCTCCGTTCCTTATAACATGCTTGTATATGTGGAACTTTGTCCTTCGGCGACGATTCACCTTATATATATTGCCTAGTTTGACTATTAGCTTCGCGACGTTGAACAAATAATAAATGGGTCTTGGATTGATTATTTGTATAAGTTATTTTATTTTATATAACTTGTTTGGCATTTTACTGGAATGAGTTATTTAGACAGTGAATTATTTATAAATAACTTAAAACGAGTTATTTGAAATAACTCATACCCATAATCCCATATGTTAATTTGAAATAATTCGTTTTAGCACACTGCTTTTATTAAATATCACATTTGCATGGTTCAACCAAATGAGATACATTATTTCAATTACCACTAATATAATACTGAAATACTACATGAACAATAAATAAGTTATTTGACTATACAAATATCACACTGACAATAACCCATCCAAACGACCCAAAGTAATGGGTTAACATGTTTGTCTGACCCGAAAGTTTTTCATATTTAACATCATGGCCAATTCTTTTGGTATTGAACATTGTAGCCGGAACAAGGGGCGGACACATGAGGCTTTAGGTGTGTCACGGGACACCCTAAAATTGGGAAAAACGATTATCCAACCTCCGGTAGTTGTTTCGTATGGATACAAAAAAATTTATAATTAGTAATCCGGGACACCCCTAAAACGATTATCTTACCCTCAGTAGTAGTTTGCATATTTTAAAAAATATAAGTGGTAGTCTGTGTTATTTTTTTTTTTTTTATAATTGGTGATGAGTGGTAGTCTGTGTTATTCAAACTTATGACACTACTATTTTTAAACATTATTCTCCATTAGGTTGCAACTCATTTGTTGTTCTATTTTAAACACTACACTATGCTTGGGAGGAGGGTGCAAAGGGGAGGGGTAAACACAGTATTCTAGGTATTAGCACATGTTTGGTTAATTTGTAACAGTAAGAGGGTGCAAATCTACTATTTCGGCTTACCCTCCAAATTGGGGTGCAACTGTGCAAGAGAAGAAAGAAAGGTATGGGAAGAGGAAAGGGGATTGGGAGAGGGGGAATATGAATTTATTATTGCTGTTATAATTAATTATTATTTGAGTATAATTATATAATAATTATTTTTATTAAAATATAATTATTTTTATTATTATAGATTGATTTATGTTTGTATTATTTTGTGATAATATTTTATAAATTTGAAAACTTTATTTTATAATAATATAATTGCTTACTTTTAACTCTATTTGCACCCCTACTTTTTCAGCCAAATAACAATTTACCCCTCCACTTACACCCCCATAAAGTTGCACTCCCAACAATTTACCCCACAACTTGCACCCCCCTATTGCCAAACACAGCGCACGTAATAATAAAAATGTTATTCCTTATCCCAAACTATTTCCGAAACCTAACAATTAAACTAATTACGGGCTACCCTTAATTTGAATTGATTTTATGGTTACACGGCAAGTGTTGAAAGAGTCTTTTCAACTTTGAGTTACATCAAGAATAATGATATAAATTGAATATGCAACCCGTTTGTGAATTATTGTTTAGTAGGATATACAGATTTGTTGAGCAGTGTAGTGAGTCGATTCATTTTCTTTTCTCGGAATATGAAAACACGTCTTGGCCTTTTGTTCAACTTTGGACTAGTGGATTTTTTTGTTATTTATGAATTATTATTATTTTTATTTATAATTTAATTTAATTTTTGGAAGAGGACACCCCTATATAAAATTCCTGGATCCGCCACTGGCCCGAACTAACCCTGCATTTACTAATTTGGCTAAATTCGAGAGTTGACCGTTAGTTTTGACGGTCAAGGCTGTTGACTAATAGTTAATGGTCATCTAGTTAACGGTCAAACTTTATAGTTGACTTCCACGTATAATAAATTTAACGGAATGTAACGGTCGTGACTAACCGTGAAATGATTCGTAAAGTTAATGGCGAATAAAAAAGAAAAGTAATTTGAGTGACAAAACGTGTAATTTAGCCTTTGATTGACATATACATTAGGAAGAAAAGAGTGTTTAACAGCAAAAAAAAAAAAAAAAGTATAGTTCAAATTCGATTGATTAACAACACTAGTGTTCTCTCTTTCCATTGTTATATTCTGTGTAATCAAATATTGTTATTTATGTTTTTATTTGTTTGATTTTTTCATCAAAATGTAATGTATTATTAAGTTATAATAAACATAGGCAGAAAATTACATGATAAGATTTAATCATAATTTTTTGGTTTAAACAAAAGTTATATATGTCACGATTTGGATAAACTTAGCTAATGTGCCATTGGAATACAATGACTTCCAGGGATTAAGTAGAATTGCAAGTTGGATTGGGGTTCCGTTGGGTATGGATCACACTACTCGGATGGGGGATAGGCATGGCTTTGCGAAGGTACTGGTGGAACTCACAGTGGATAGTGAATGCCCTGATCACATTCTTCTGTGGCCTGATGATGATTCCTCCATCAGAATTGGAGTCACTTATTGTAATTTGCCTCCGATTTGCCAGGTTTGTCATCTGTTTGGGATCACGGGTCCATGTTCTGAGCATAATGGTAAGAAGTGGGTAGTTAAATCAGAGCCAGTGAAGCAGTCAGAGGGTGTGGGTGCTAGTACTATGGGTCAAGGAAGTGGCAGAGGTGAGAAGACTCAGGATGTTGTAATAGAGGGCCCAACAGTTAGTGAGAAGGGTAAGGAGATCGTGGTTTATGATGATGATCCACAGCTGGCAGCCATATTTACCAGTCCTATGGTGGTGAGTGGGGGTCTGGTTCAAAACCTTGAGAAGTCATTTCAAGAGGTGGCCACTTCTCCCTCGCCAAAGCTCCCATCAGAATATGAATTTCAGCAAGTGGTCAATGGTGCTAAGCCTAGAGTTTGGGTTTCCCAGGGGGGTTCAAAAGGTATACATATATCCAACTCTACTTTTAGTGTACTGGGGAAGCTTAGTGATAAGGAAGAAGGGGGTATCCATGATGCTCCTAAGAAGAAGGAAACGAAAAAGGAAGTAAAGAAGGGTGGGGGGAAACCTCCAACTTCAAAATGATTGTACTGTTCTGGAATGTTAGAGGGCTGAACAAGCCTTCTAAACAAAGGGACTTATTAAGAGTCCTTCGTAGGAAAAAGGTAGATATGGTTGCAGTATTAGAAACTAGAATTCAAGCTGCTAAAGCTGAGAAAGTAGTAGAGGAAGTGTTTGCTAGGTGGGAGAAATGCCTGAATTGTCATGATTCAAAGTTGGGTAGAGTCTGGCTTTTTTGGGATCCTGCTGTCAGGGTTCAGATTCTTAAACCAGGGAAAAACTTTCTACATTGCATGGTTGAAGACTTAAATAAGGATAGGTTCTTTCTTACGGCAGTCTATGCATCTAATGATGAATCGGAGAGGTTAGGTACTTACCAGCAGATAGCTCAGTTGAAGGTAGTTGGCTATCCTTGGATCGTTGGGGGTGACTTTAACACTGTGAGGAGTCCGCAGGAGACCTCAAATCAGAGAACTTTGAGCCAAAGTATGCAGGACTTTAACCAATGGATTGGAGAGATGGAGTTGGTTGACTACAAGACTACAGGACCACAGTTCACATGGACGAATAGGCAGGCCAATCAACCTATCGCAAGAAGACTGGATAGAGGCCTGGTCAATATGGAGTGGATTGATCAATTCTCCAATTGCACTATGGAAGCTTTCCCGGCCCATTTTTCAGATCACTGTGCCATACAAGTCTGCACTGTTGCCCCAATAAAGTCTCTTCCTAAACCATTTAGGTACTTTGAATTCTGGGCTGATCACCCAAAATTATTGGACATTGTGGCTGAGGTTTGGAGTAGTGAGATAGTTGGCAATCCTCTGCAGGTTATTCAGGGTAAGTTGGCTAAAGTCAAACAAGCTCTGAAGAAGTTCAATAAAGATGTATATGGTAACTTACAAGACAAGGTACACGAGGCTGAAGCTGAGTTAGCAAGGGTTCAATTGAAGTCATTTTCAGATCCATCCTCTGAGCATTTTGAAGAAGTAACTCTTGCAAAGAATCACTTTGATCATGTTACAAAGGCGTATGAGAGTTTTGGGTGGCAAAAGTCAAGAGTCTCTTGGCTTTCGGTTGGTGATCAAAGCTCCCACTTCTTTCACCAGGAAGTCAAGATTCACAATTCTAAGCGCGCTATAAGGAAGCTGGTTACAGAATTTGGGGAGGAATTGTTTCAGTCTGATCAAATTGTTGAAGAGGCAGTTTGTTTCTATACAAGGCTATTGGGTGAGGCAAATCAGGACATCCAGCCTAGTAGATAGGAGATAGCTCATCTGGTTAGCCACCATATCCCTGCTCTTGAATGTGAGAATCTTGTTAAGGAAGTTACAGCAGATGAAGTGAGACAGGTGGTCTTTGGACTGAATGCACAGAAGGCTCCAGGCCCAGATGGCTTCTCTGTAGGCTTCTACAAGAGAGCATGGTCAATTATTGGTGAGGATGTGACTCGAGGGGTCCTTTACTTCTTTCAAACAGGTAACATGACTAGTGGAATCAATGCTACAGCTGTTTCCTTAGTCCCTAAGATTCAGAATGCTGATACTCTAAAGAATTTTAGGCCCATCTCTTGTGTGAATCTGTTTTATAAGATAATAGCTAAAATACTTGCTCGAAGGATTAGTGAGGTAATGCCTTTAATCATTAGTGCCAACCAGTCAGCTTTTGCTAAAGGTAGGAGCATCATGGATAATATATTGATGGCTCAGGAATTATTAAGTGGCTACAATAGAATTGCATTATCATCTCGATGTGCAATAAAAATAGACATTATGAAAGCCTTTGACTCTGTTAGTTGGAATTATCTGTTTCATATGATGCTGGCCATGGGTTTCCCACCTCAATTTATGACCTGGATAAGAAACTGCCTTCAAACTGCACATTACAGTATAAACATAAATGGGGTCTCTGTGGTTTCTTTAGAGCTAGGAAGGGGGTTCGTCAAGGTGATCCACTATCACCATATTTGTTCACTATAGCCGTGGAAGGGCTCTCTTCTATGCTTATAGCTGCTAGTCAAACAGGAAGGATCCCTTACCATCCCTAGTGTAAGAGGATTGGCTTAAATCATATGTGTTTTGCTGATGACATACTTGTTTTCACTACTGGTTCATCTCAAGCTATCCTTCAAGTGA